TTTCACCATAAGGACTTTAGCCCGTGCTTTGATGGATATTAACCCAACCGCTAAGCGAAGAGCCACATTGGAAGTACAAGGTGGAACTCCAAGAATGGCTCTCACAAATTTGGTCTGGACAATCTCCAGAGGTTGTAGATTAGCGAAGGCAAATAGTTGGGAGCCATAAAGCATTTGCGAAATAATCCTGGCCTTAAAAACTTGTATTGCCGATGGTACATGTTTACCCCCATCAGTATGGAAAAATCTTCTTAGTGCTCCAGTATTTTTTTGGGCACTCATTGCTGCGTGGTTTACATGAATAAGTCAGGATCCTGAAGAGTGAAAAACTATGCCAAGGTATTTGTAGCAAGCTACTTGCTCTACAGGGTGTCCATTTAGAGACCATTTATGCTTTATTCTCCTTCTACTCACAACCATAATCTTGGTTTTAGCATAATTAATTATTAGTTGTTCTTTATTACAGTAAGAGGAGAAGGATCTCAGGAGTCTTCTAAATCCTACGCACGTTGTTGACAATAAAACAGCATTATCAGCATAGAGTAAGATTGCAATTGGGCGAGAGGCAAGTTTGCGTTGATGAAAATTGGGGTTACTTAAATTCCCAACTAAGCCATTGATATAGAAGTTGAACAAGGTGGGGGCTAGTATGCATCCTTGTCTCACTCCATTAAGTACAGGGACTTGGTTGGTTCTCTGGCACATATACTATTCTGGCACATGCTTCAGTTACAATTAAAGCTACCTCTATGTCCTCTAACTCCCGTAGGAGAGCATTCCACAAGTGGGGTGCCATGTCTGAAAAAGCCAGGTTTCTAGTTGATGTTTTCAGAGCTTCTTGAGATGTCAATGCCCGCAGGCATGAAGTCTGTTTAGACAGGATCGACAGGCAGCTGAACTAGGCAAAAGACGTTCAGGCAAGTAACGAGGTCCAAAACCATTTAGAACTTTATAAGTTATAACCAGAACCTTGAACCTGGCAGTAACCAGTACAGGTGAACCAAAGTTGGAGTGATGCAATCAAACTTCCTCACCCTAACAGTAAGTCTGGCCACTGTGTTCTGGACCTCCTGAAGTTTCCATACCACCTTCAAGAGAAACCCCATGTAGGAGGCATTAGTCACTGTTAAGATTACCAGTGTTTAGACCAGTGCTGCCAGGGACTTGTCATCTAGGTAGGGACGTAACTTGGTGATTTGCCAAAGTTGGAAAAAGGCAGAGTGTACCAAAAGTAACTAAAAGGCCCCGAAAATTAATAAATTCTGCAAGAAGGTGATAACAGTTATGGAAAACAATAATGGGGAGAAATATTAACAAACATGGCAAACACTTATTGTCAATCTTTAGGAGGACAAATAAGAAAAAAAGATTCACAAACAATTCCATTTATGTTGGTAGCAGCACACATTATAATAGTGAGACATTGGAAAAATCTTGAGAAAGTTAATATCAAAATGGGGTTGGATCTGGTGTGGAAAATAGCACATTATCTGAGAAGAAGCATACACAGATTAAGGACTGTAAAAAGAATTGGGGGAAAAATAACACGTTCATTGTGATATTGTTTTGTTTCATTATATGTGCAACTTAGCTATCTGAATTGCATGATTCCTGCAGGGAGGGAAGGAAGGAACTGGCAAAAGCTTTGAATATATATTGAAGGAAAATCAGTCCGGTAGCTGATGGCACTGAATTTTGCCCCTCATTCCAAGAGATTTTATTTTCTCCCATTTTCATGTTTTTTCTCTATTCAAACATATGCAAATAAATGCAAATATTGTGTAATATTAGGATAGAAATTAAAGTGAGTGGGATACAAATCAACTCAAACCAATCAGTTACTATTTGTAAAACAAATAATTTGGACTGAATTAAATCCAGTGATATTCATCCGGCCTCATATCTTCAGAAGTAAAGGCGTTGATTCTGGAAAGTACACTAGGATACCTTTTAAAACGTAGTTTAACATATTTCTAGGTGTTCACTGGTCCTCTGTGAAATATTAGTTGGTACATATGTAGTCTCACAACCAAAAAAGAACAAGCTGAGATACAGAAGTCTGTGAGTTCAAATCTCAGTTCAACCACGAACCTCCTTAGAAAAGCCAGTATTTTTCAACCTTATATTTCAAACGTTTCTTTCAGTGCCTCTGATGAGAAACCAAGTGATTTTGGACCTTCCTCAAGTGTCACCTTGTGGCAGCCGTTCAAGCAGTCTGCCTGAACTATTTCTATCTATCTGGTTTTTATAGCAACCGTTACCTGCATTTGTTTTCCCCCTTCCTTCTTCTATAGTCTTTGTGTGTCATGACTTAAATTTAGACTGAAGCAAAGACTTTTATCTGAGTTACCTTGGTAAAGTTCTTTAGGAAAGAATAGGATGTTTGTGCTGAGAGGAGGGAAAAACAGAGGCAATTGCAATCTCACATCTATCCTCTGGTACAGTGGTTCCCAACCTTTTTTTTTCATTTGTGTGGCCCTTGGCAGCCCATTTCCATAAATTGTAGCCTTCATATTAGGAGGCAGGAAAGCTCAAAACAGTCTAGGTCTGATTGGACATACAGTGGTCAGTTGCAATGAAAAAAGAGACCAGCCTAGAATCTGGCAGCAGCAGAAGGAGGAGTATTAAGTGGGAATAAAATTGTTGATATTGGTGGTGGGCAGCAATGGAAATGTTGTTGGGACTGTTCGAGTAAAGTAGTTAACACAAAATCCAGTGCTCAGCATCATGGGGAAAAATTACCTTCACTAACTACAGTGGTGCCTTGCTAAACAGTTACCCCGCATGACAGTTTTTCGCTAGACATTGACTTTTTGCGATCACTATAGTGATTCGCAAAACAGTGATTCCTATGGGGGAATTTCGCTGGACAATGTTTGGTCCCTGGTTCACAAACCGATTTTCGCTAGATGGCGATTTTGACAGCTCCCTCTGCGCTCGTAAAACGGGTGTTTTCGGGACCTAAGCTTCGCAAGACAGCTGATCGGCAGTTTGCAAAGTGGCTTTCCTATGGCCGATCTTTGCTAGACAACGATGATTCTTCCCCATTGGACCACATTAAACAGGTTTCAATGCATTCCAATGGGGAAATGTTTTTCACTAGACAATGATTTCGCTAAACAGCGATTTCAGTGAAACGGATTTTCATGGTCTAGCGAGGCACCACTGTACATAATTAATTTATAGTTACAGAAGGAAAATATGAATTTGAGTAAATGTGTGTAACAGTGCACTTTGACATAGGTTTGATCATTTGATTTTGATACAAATAAAGTTTATCAAAAACATATTCAAAATTTAAGTTCCTATTGTTAAATTAGTTCATGCATGTATATAACATTGCTGCAAGTATGCTTGATATAGTGTGCTTAATTCATTTCAGGTTTGTCTATAGATTATGCAGAGAACAAACTGTATTGGATCAGTTCAGGAAATGGAACCATAAACCGATGCAACCTGGATGGTGGGAGCTTTGAAGTGATAGATTCAATGAAAGAAGAACTAACGAAAGCTACAGCCTTAACCATTATGGGTAAGTAGGAATTTAAATTAGGTTGACCAATAAGAATTATCAGAATTACTGGCATGTTAGCACAAATGCCTTTTTTGGTACAGCGTCTTTTTAATTGTACGTTTAAATTCTAAATAATGTTTATCCGTAATCCCCTACGGAGCTATATTGTATCAATAACATAAAATGTTTACATTGAGCTATCTTGTAACTCAGTATAAACATTATCCATTACTAGATTACATTGGAAGCTTGGAAAATTATGTGATTTTTGTGGGTAAAATATTACTTATTAATGGGTTTGTCCTTGATAATGCTCTTCATTAACTTCAATGCAGTTTTAATGCTCTTCTCTAGAATCACCCTTTCCACATTTATAACCTTTTCCCTATCTCCTGTTTCCTGGATTATAGGTTATCTGTCTTTTTATTCTTTCACTGTGGAAGTAAAATCATTGCTGGCATTTGTTCTTAAACCTCCTTTTACCAATATTGTTAGTATAACATGACTTATCCATAACTCATAATTGAGACATCAATGGTGGAACATTTTGTTGATTACTTGGCATTTCTGTGAAGAAACATGAGGAAGAGCATACACACACACACACACACACACACACACACACACACACACACACACACACACACACA